AGAGTTCAGCAACTTTTCCGCTAGGCCGCTGGTGGGCTTTAAAGAGAGAAGGCGGTAGTATCCGTACATTTATTAATATGTACTTCACTGTTTGCTGAATTTTTTTCTTTAATAGTCAGTTCATAAATGGCATCTGTTCTAATTTTTCCCACTCCTTTTCAAAAAGTAAAATTAAAGAATTAAAAAAAAGGAGGAATGCATCAATAAATATGCTAATTAAATTATCGATGGTAAAATACAATCTACTATAGCAACTTCGATATTATACTGTACAAATCTAATAACATGCGTAGTATATTTCTGAAACCGATTTTCGTATTAATTAATATGACAGTTAAATTTTTGCCATTCTGAAGAATCAGAAACACAACATAAACAATTTAAATATATTAAAATATTGTAACTGAAATGACCGGATTTTCTGCACTTAAAATTAGTATGCTTTTTTATTTCTTATAACTAAAAAAGTAGTACAATCTAAGAAAATTTTTGTAATATATAACATTAAATTATGTAAGATTAATATTATCTTTGAACTAAGAAAATGCTCTCAATCTGTAATTTTTGTGACATTTTTCATAATAAAATGTTCAACTCGACATTTTTCGCACACGTTTATTGCTTTTTTAACGTCGTAGCAAATGTGTACAGCCTAACTTGCGCAAGACATGCTTCTAATCTTTAACAATTACATTAATGCTTTTCACATTTGTGTAATGAATTTCAGATAAACAACTGAAGGAGCGGAAAGCAGGCTACCAAGATAAAGAAGCTGAGAAGAAATATTTATGTTCTAATATGGATGATTGTAAAAGTGTAGTTCTAATTAATTTTTCTTAGTTAATTATAAGATTTTAGTTTATAAAATTTTAATATTATTATTGGCCGAATGACTATGCGTTATATAAATACATGCATCAAAAGCGTTGTACAAGAACTGTATGACATGGATTAACTTTGGCAGAGATTAGTTCAGAGATTCAGAGATTTGATTAATTCAGAGATTCAGAGATTTGATTAATTCAGAGAAATTCATTATAAGCATGTTATTATTTTTAGAATTTTTCAGCATAAGGGTAGTGATCTAATTAAATATAAGATTTAAGGGATGTTGTAAACTTAAAGTTAGAACTTTATTTTGTATTTGTATTTTCCTTACATAGCCGCCCAGACGGGAACGTGGTTAGTGACTCTGACTTCCTTGCCAAAGGGCTCGAGTTCGAAACCCAGAGAAGGCATGGATGTATTTGTCCATCCCCTCTTAGGAGGCAACTGTGGCCCACGTCTTAGGTGCCTCCAAGGTAAAGTGAGGATAAAGTGACCACCGCTTTCGGCCTTAGTAGTGGGCAACGTCTGTGAACGGTTTGGGACCGCCACTGGGGAGGGGAGGGAATATTCCTCACCTACATTCTGGGTCATGTGAGGCCAAAAATAAAAACTTGGGAAGTCCATATAAAAACTGTATCATCACGTTAACAGGATTTTAAGGAAAATAGTAGTAGTAACATAGAAATGATTACATAACAATGAAGTACATTCGATTCATTTAAATTTTTCTTTCAAACTCTGTCATGGTTAGCTGCTCCGCAGAGTAATTTCAGAGACGGAGACATGAAAATATATTCTGGAATAAAATGCTATTATAAATATAAAACCAAATGATTCTGTGCCATTGTGTAATATGCGGCGGTAGAAATCCCGTTGATTACAATAATGGTGGACATGTTTGTAAAAATTATTAAGTGTTAAATATATCCTAATTTCAATATATTTTAAATTATATCGGTAACAAATGTTTTTAAAATAAAATAAAATAGTTGTCACTGGTGATCTGTACTTAGACAGTGACCTGTTGGTTGATAGTCACCAGCGTGGAGGAGCGGCATGGAAAATTATTAAGAAGCACATTTATTATTTTACAATCGCTTAACTAGTTAAGAAAATATAGTTTAGAAGACAAATTAAGTCTTATTCTGTATGAAACAGTGAAGCGTTCATTGGCCAAGCCGCTTAAAAGCTGAAAGAAAGGTTTTGTCTCATGCAATGGCAATTACTTGCCAAGTCGCGCGTATATGATAAATAATCGGGAACCATCGAATATAATTAAAAATTAAATACATTTTTGTTTTTATCCATTGCATACGTGTATTGGACAAAAACAAAAATGTATTGGATAAAAATAAAGTAAGGATTTAAGCTATTAAAATAGGCGTTTATTGCTTTTAAATCGTCAACTTTGCTTTAGTAATCCAAGTAAAACTTGAAATAAACTTATCACGTTACTTCAAGGAACAAGATTGTGGAAACCGACAGTTTACGAATTCACGTGGAAGATAGATTAAAAATTCAATGTTTTGCAGAGCGGCCATATTTGCCTAACTACATAAGTGTGATAGCTAAACAAACCGTAGCTAGCGTAAATTTTGGTGTTTACAACACAAATTTCCTGCCCTGGCAAAATAGAAATTTGTCTTCACCGGTGGGAAATATTAATAGCAAGCCTCATAGACGAGTTATCCAATGAAAAAAAAGAAGAAAAAAAAAAAAAAAAAAAAGGCACTGCTACGTCTTTTAAAACGTTTGGAGGTGTTAAACTGAAACTTAAATCCAAAATCTATTTTTTTTTTAATTTCACATTTTTTTGTTTTTGAAATTTTTAACAACAAAAGAATTTTTAAGGTGTTAGACAGCAACGAAAACGTTTTAGATAAATTTTTACATCCTTTTTTATGCAAACGGCAAAATGGTGAATAAACCTTAACTTGGAAAAATATATATTTTGCTTCATTATCTATATCTTGTGATAAAAAGTGCATTTCTTCGTTATTTAAACGTTCGGTTCTCATTAAAGCTCGGTATAATAATCATGAGGGGAGAAGTAAATTTTATGCTTATTACAAAGTGCGTGGAGGGGGGGAGAACCCTCTAGTAAGAAGAGTTTGTATGCGGATGTTTTCTAAATTTAGGCAATAGAAAATGTAATTATTGTGTAACCATAAAACAGGAATGGCTATAATTTTAGTATATTTAGTATATGGCTATAATAGTATAAAACTCGTTTTACTCAGTTTAACGCTTTTATTTGATTTACTTAAATTCCATAGGCTTCTATTCAAAAATTACTCATAGTAGAATTAGATGTTAGCCCCCCCTTTTTTTTTTCAATTTTTTAAGAGTCTGAATTTGAGATGACCCTTAGGTTCGAAAGAAAAAAAATGAATATTCAGAGGTTAGTTCAGAGGAATTAAATTGGCTATCAGGTAGATAGAGTCAATTATACAAGAAAACTATAGAAAGGAATTTTTTGAAAAACTCTTTTCTTCTCAGATATGTTTCTACGACTTCATACATAGATTTGAAACTGTAGCCATATTATTTGGTGTCGATGCTGATGTAAATTGATGGCTGGCTTCAGAACCGATTTAAATTAATATCGATGCTATTAGAAATCAATTAAGTAAACAGCCGATAATGTTTACCCTAAAATTGTCTTCGCAAATTATTTGCATGTATTCTCAAGGAGCAATTTTGAAAAACAAGAGCAAAAATTAATCGAATTCACTGAGCATGTTTTATAAAAATATCACTTGCTAATACTTACAGAGCATTATTCTGTTTCTGTATCACTCCATTAAGTTTTTTTAAATGTCTCCAGCATAGGTTATTAATCATAGGTTATTTATTTATCAGTTATTGGACACAATCTGCATGATTAAATCTACACTAATAAATAGTAATTGCAAAGCATTCAAAATCATAAACAGATAAAGAAATAAACATAAAATATCAAACGAAAACTAAAGTGGGCATAGTATGAGAAAGCATAAATAAAAAATTATAGCAGTATAAAAAAAATTTAAGAAATCTTCCGTGAAGCTATAGGAAACTGGAAAAAAGCACAGATTATTATAGTGCTGTCACGAGAGCAAATATGATGACAGAAGAGTTTCATTCATGTAGGACGAACACTTCCGAAATTCGAAATTATCAGCAGAAGGAAAAAATAAGGAAAATTGATTCGTAAAATAATAACTTATTAGCATGCTCTTGAGATTCGTTCAGAAAAATAAGCAATAGAAGATAAAAGGTATGTTTGAATCATAAACTTTACGTAATTCCTGATTCAACAAAAGCCTTCTATAGTGTAATAAAATATTAGTTAAACTCTTCCAAGTAATTGGTTTTATTTCTATTTATTTACACCTCATAAAGATATTATTGTTTTCAATTTCAATAAAATTATATCCGACGTAAATAAACGTTGTTGTCAATTATTAAGAATTTTATTTTCCGTTTAATGAATCATAAATGTGTTGATCAACTAAGTTACTCATTTAAAAAGCCATTTTATCCGGACTTCTTACTATCATTTCCAATAACCGTTACTTTATAATCATAAGCGTTATAAATAAAATATATTTCTATGAACATCTACATCTAAAGTAAAATAAATAGTCATGATGAATTTAGAAGTAATTATAACGGTTTACAATTCTCTCTATATAGTTCTATTTTAATTTTATTCATACAATAATGGCATTTTTAAATACTTTGATATTTTTCTATCTATACGATTTTACGTCACCTTCCTTCCCAAAACGAGCAAAGGAGGGGGGGGGAATGTCATCAGAGCTTTTAAAACTGATATTAATTTGAGACGAGTTTTTAATAATTTTTAGCACCAAAAATTTAATTTTTTGAATTAAAGCAGACATTATTTCTACATAAAGAAGAGAAGTCAATTCTTTGTGCTATTATCCATTAAAAAATGGGAAACATTTTTTTTGAGATGGTAATTTAAAATTTTATATTGCAAATTATCATTTGTTTAGACCCCCAATATAACTTGCTCCCAACTGTCTTTGAAAAATGTGTGGTTGGGCAAAGCTCAGTTGCTTGTTATGTACAGAATGCAGACTTCTTATTATAAAAATATAGAAATTCCCAGAGTTGGAAGAACAGCTATTCTCTCTTTATGATATAAACTTGTTGAGACTTACCTCCAGAGTTTTCCAAGAGTCTTGCTGAGCTCAGCGTTGTGCAAGTGGGGATACTGGTCAGCGAGCTTACGGCGTGCTGCCTGAGCCCACACCATGAAAGCATTCATGGGGCGCTTCACATGGGGCTTTCTCTTATCGCTACCGCCCTGGCGCGATGTCTTCGCCACCAAAGACCAGTCATAACTCTGTAGAACTTTGGACACCGCGGCCTGGATGCGGGGATTAGCGTCCAGAGCATCGGCCATGCCTCCATGGCCACCGTCGGGAGAAAGACCGTCGCAGGTTCCCGGAGAACCCCCACTGGAAGAGGCGGCATCCAAATCGTCGTCGTATTCGTGTTTGCAGTCGTCACGATCCATCATAAGATGTCGATTTAAATAACCAGATTAATCAGTTCTCAACAAACTTTGGATTAATCACAGGTACATGTCTGATTGTTCATTATAAAATCTTTCTTACCAGAAGAATCAGTTTTGCAGAATAAAACTTGCTATGTCAGACTTTCAGCAGTTGCATAGATTATTTGCATATTTGCCACTATATGAGACTAGATTGCAATTATATCGCGGAGTTTCCGAATAATTATTTCCAATTAAGCTTTACAAGTAAATCAGTCAATTCGATTTTTCGGATACAGAGGATATATTGCTTATCTTGAAATTTTCCTTGAAGAAATTCTAAAATGTTATCAATGTCTTTTGGTTTTTTTCTCTTTTTACTAGCACCGCTTATAAAGCAGTTAATTTAAATCATCTGCTGCGTAGTGATATAGCATTAAGAGAATCATTTTCATAGAGTTTCAAAGTGCAATTTTTCCGTTTCAGAATAATAAATTTAATTTATTCCGAAATAGGCGATTAAACTCAAAAGAAACAGAAGATTCACGAAGTAAAAATTCGTAATATCATCTCTGGAATATAATATCCAGGTAATGAAAAGTTTTGCTATCTGATGCGAAATATTTACAAGTCTATTAGATCAGCAATTCAGTAACGGAATCATTAAAGACGCATGAAGCAAGCATTCATTATTCGACATTCTTGATCGCACCATTAAATCACAGAAAAAAAAAAAATTATATCGCCACCTTGGGAAAAATGGATACACTTAACAAAGAGGATAACTTAACAACTGTCTCACCAAATAATACTTATTTCTTCACCGCTTTCAGAACATGACACCATATTAACAGTCATAAATGTCAACGAAATCACCACCACCACAATACTTCACATTCTGCGGCAGACACAGGGCGTCTTTTACCAATGTGTCCACAATGCCTTCCTTTTCAGATCCTTGCTGAAGAACAATAAATTCCTTATCACTACGCTATAAACGTGCGTGAGCACAGATCTGCGGAACAGATAAAAACTTTGTCCACCGATGGGGAGTGATACTTCGTGGCGCGCGCACAACAGAGCATTTCATGCATTCACCATCGAAAAGGAATCGGCAATGAACAAGGGCCTTGTCTCTCGCTCTGCGCGATGGTACCAAACGTAGGAGAGATTTTCTACACTCGGGCAGTCGCCAACGATCGTCGCCGAGAAGTTACTGGGGGAGGAGGCGAGGAGATGAGAGGCGTGGCTAAGGTTGTCTCGCAACCCCTTTTGCCTGCCCTCCCCTCTCTCGTTTGGCGGTGAGAGGGTCAGCGGCAGGAGTTGTCAGGTCCGTGACTTTCTTTCAACGACCGATTCCGCACTGTGGGTAGGGTTACCACAAATAAGGGGTGAGCGATAAATTAGAGAATTTTGCTTTGCTTCCTCGCCAACGCCGTCTAAAAGCTGAGATAAAATCATTTTTCTCTAATGTAGTTCATTCTTCTAAAAACCTTTCGGCATTTACAAATGCTAGAGTATAAAAATAGCATATAATTCAGTAATAAAGACATGCTTGTTAATAAAATATCACGGAATCATAATTAATAACAAAAATGACGGCGAAAATATTAATAAAATTATAATTACCAAAGAAATCAATGATAGAGTAATAAATAATTATAAATTCGGAAAGAAAATAAGAAAAATATTGTAATAACGAACACAATTACTTCAATTAAAAGACAAATTAAATAATGCGTTTTTTTAATACTTCGTTTATTTTTCAAAATTAAGATAAACACAAGTTATTAGCCCAAAGGGGCTTTGTACCTTAAGGACTATTGTTTTCGTTTTGCGATTTTGCGTTGAATCACTATAAATATCCATTTCACTTTTCAAACTGTTGCCACCAAATGTTAGAGTCCTGCATTATGTTTCAAGAAATTAAATAATGGAAAATCTGCATAAATGTATGTCTATTTCTCGCATTGTGATAAAACAATGGTACATAGAGCCATTGAATTTTGAATGACGTAATCCTCCTACGAATATGGGCATGTTGGAAGACCAAATTTGAAATATGTTTGATTATCGATTTCATATTTTGTAAAAACTTTAACGAATTTTTTGATTAACAAATTCAAGGATTTCAAAGCGAGCAATGGCAACACTCTACCGAAAAAAAAAAAAAAAAAAAAAAAAAGAACTGTGTATCGGAAATTCTTAAGGATATTACGGTTTAAGTGCGAAGAACATGATATTTAATAAATAAAGGTAACGCACAAAACGTTAAAAAAAAGTCCCTTTGAACGTAATTTAAAATCTGAAACATTTCAGATTATATATATATATATATATATATTTAGTTGGGATGATTTCCGTTATTATTATTTTTTTTCCAATCTAAAGTATCCTCTTTTTTATCTTCTGTTAGTTCTTAATAGTTAGATTTTATTTTACCAGGGTTTACAGGTCGTCCTCGTCGAGCTCTACGTTCAGGAAGAAGCTCGGCTTCGAGGCTGTAGTTTCTGGCTCGGAAATTCTGGAACCACTTGGCTTGCGCTTATTGTCTAGTCCCTATATACCGCATTATTATTCCTATTAATAATTATTTCACTGAACTTTTAAAACAAAATATACTGAATATTCTCCTTTGTAACTCCCAATTAGCTTTGAAAAACAGCAGCTAAAATCGAACTGCATTCTTCATAATTTGCATTAAGAATAACAAGGTAAAATTACTCAAGCAAACGTGCTATTACGTTAGCTTGAGTAGCCTATTCCATACCTCCTCTGACTTTTAATTCAACCAAAAAACAAAACTGCATTATCTATGGGGTAAACCAATAACATACAATATCATGATTTTTTTAAATTTATCGAGTAAACCAATTAGTAATAAACAAATTCTAATTAAAACAAAAATCGAATTTATGTGCATCTTAGCCAGCTGTTACCTAGACATGCCCATCTTCTTAATTACCACTAAAATAATTAACAACTAATTTTGAGAAAAATGTTTATGTTTGCATGATTTAACATTTTGACTTATTTTTTTTTTTAAATTTGAATTGACTTAAAAAATTTTTCATTCTTCTTGGAATTATAATCATTTTCGTAAATAATGTAACTTATCTCTTGGGGCCTAAATATCAATAGAAAATTTAACTCTCTACAGTGAGAAGGAAATAAATAATTTAAGAAAATAGTAACATTTTTAACTTTTTTAATTTAACAGAATGATTAATAAAAACATTTTAAAAATATAAAATAAACCAAATAGATCCTTGCGAATAATTCTCACAAATTTTTTTTATTCTTCTTAACATAAGAATTTTTTTATTCTTCTCATATACACTGCTAGCCATTAAAATTGCAACACCAGGAAGGAATGATCTGACGAATGTCAAAATCACATGAAAGGAAGAAGAGGTTGGGATAAGCAAATTAATAGTATTTCAGCGCATTTAGTCGACGCAGGAGAGAAAAACGACATCTGAAGCACTAGATAAAAGAAACACTGTGTAGTAGATTTCTCATTCGGAAAGCTCTTTATAAGGTCGGAATTTTCTCAGAATATCGTCTTATGGCTCGAAAAATAAGAAATGCTTACCAGAAAGTGTCGGAATTCGACAGAGGCTCGCTGCCTGTTGAGAGTGTAGATTATCGTTCTGTGATATCACCCGCCGCAGTGGTCGACATTCCAGCCACTCTCATGCGAATATCGAATCAATGGCCTGCTGAGAATCATACTGAATGGCATGCAGGATCTCAACGCCCTCCCATCACTGACGCCAGAGAGGAGAGACATATCGTGAGGTCAGCCCTGAAAAAAACCGTACAACCACATAACGGGCGATTAGTCAGGAAATGGGCATGTTTGCAGCACGCCAGTACCTGCTCGTATGGTGCGTCGACGTTTTCAGCAACTTGGACTATCAGTACGGCGACTATTTATACAGCTTCCCTTGGCAATGCAGCATAGAGAGAGACGGCAACTCTGGTGCCCCGAACGACAAAGCTGGATACAGGAGTGGCACAATGTCCTCTTTTCAGACGAGTCCCGGTTCTGCGTGCTGTATTCTAATGGCCGCATACGGGTCTGGAAGCTCTGAGAAGACATCACGTCGCCTGCTTGCGTTCGATATCGGCATAGGGGCCCTGCACCTGGTGTGATGGTTTGAGCAGCCACTGGGTACACACACGACACGCACATCTTTAGTTCAGATCGATGGTAATTTGAATGCAGATGGACAGATTTCTCCCATCTTGCGTCCACTGGTTGTGCCCTATCTTCGAGGCCTGCCAGAGATAATTTTCCAACAAGATAATGCAAGACCACATGTTGCACGTCGTGTTGACCTTCCTTAATACACAGGGTATTCGATTGCTGCCCTGGCCTGCACGGTCTCCAGATCTGTCACCCATTGAAAACATCTAGTCATGGGTTGCTGAGAGTATGGCCCGCCACCCCTTTTCAGCTAATACGGTTGATGATGTGTGGCATATGCTTAAAGCAGCATCAAAAGAGCTGCCTTTTTCTATCATCCAAGCCCATTTCGATTCCATGCCTAACCGGGTAAGGGCCGTCTTAGCTGCAGGAGTGGAAGTTGTTTCTACTAATTTCGCACCCATGTAAACCCCCGAACTTCTTACAAATTTAATCATTTTGTCTTCATGCCATACTTTTTACGTACAGTAAATATCTTTTATGTATTTACTTCCTTCATGGTGTACAATTTTAATCACCAGCAGTGTACTTTACGTACGTGTCCATAAACTTATAGTTAAGTTCTTATTTTTTGTAATCTTGAATGAGAAAAGCAAAAAAAAATTGTGATGAAAGCTGATTATTTATCGTGATGTTTCGAGTCATCGAAAAAAAAAAAAAAATATGAATACTTAACATAAAATAAAAAATACAGTTCCTGAGATTTGAACCATCATAATATGCATTCAAAAATAAAATAACATTAATAAAAAATGTAAATTAATTATAGAAAAGAAGTGATTAATTAAACGATTTTGTATTTAAAACCTTCATGTATAGCGTTCGAAACATCTTTGATTAATTACGGTTACGCTGCAAATGTTCATAAAAGAATACCAGTTGAATATATCATAAATTGAACATATTTTAAATTGTATCGCTTAGGTATTTCACTAAAAAATAAAATAAAGTCTTAAGAAATATGTTTATTTTCAAGTCAAGAAAATGCTACGGATTAAAAAAATATATTTATTTTTATTTTTGTCTCAGTGCGTGAAGAAGAGACATATTGTTTAAATTTTAAAGTTAAATAAAAGATTTTTTTCTTTTGAGGAATGCCAGTATTCTGAGAAGTGGCTAGAGAAGCCGCATGGGAGATAAATTAACTGTTTTGAGGTCGAACACTGGATTACTTTTGGCAAGCCTATTTTACCTTTGCGATCGCGCGGCAAGCGATTTACCTTTGCGATAATCTAGCACTATCATATAACTATTTTTTAAGAATATTAATCTTGCCTTACTATGCAAAAATTAATAAATACTGTCTGTATCCTACACAACATCAAAAATAGTTCCTTCAGTCAATTAAAGAATTTCGAGTTTTAAGCCCTTGGGTGAGCTGAGATCGTTCCTTGCGAAAAAGCACAAAACGCATGTAGCTACGAAGGGATATTTTATTGGCCAGCATTCATGGCTGGACTCTGTACTCGCTTAAATGGGATTTTGTGCCACACACACCATATTGCCCGACATCGCTCCTTCGGACTTCTACATTTTTTTACACTTGCAGCTAAATCTTGCTGGCGCTATTTTTCATTCCGCACAGGACGTCCGAAACGAGGTTGATTTGTTTTTGTACTCGCGGCCACCAATTTCCTGGGCCCAAGCCTGTAAAACTACCAGGATGTTGGCAGAAAACCATAGATTTGTTTGGGGAGTACTACCCGCACTAAAAGTACTGCTTTCATGTCCCCCCCTAAATTTATTAAAAATACTTTCTTGCCAGGAAACTTTCGTTACAATCAGATATTTATTATTTGATACTCACGGATATTAAATTTTTTTTTTGATTTTGTAAAATATATACCTCAATGGCTAAATAAAGATAAAAGCTTAATGAATATGAAGATATCAAATTAGCAAGAATAAATTTTTAATGAATAATATTACCAAGATCATACTAATGAGCAACTGTCCTGATAGTGGTAGTTTTATTGTCTTGCTTCGAAAAAATGTGTAAGTTCGTTACATGCATCAGTTGACAGTGAGACTCATAAAATAATCTTTCAAATGAGGACACGGTGTAAAAGATGCTAC